ACGGACCTTTGTTGGCAAAGTAACGTCTCCGCTTTTTAATATGCTGTCTAGGTTGGTCATAACTTTCCTTCCAAGGAGTAAGTGTCTTTTAATTGATGGACAGGGAGGCCTGGAGTGCTGCGGCTCATTGGGGTCACAAAGAGTTGGACACAGATAGGTCTCAGCATGGGTGTGGTACATGTTTTATTTACACACATATACACACATACACACACAATCTCACTTAATTCCCCCAATTATTATATTAGGCTGAAACAGATAGGTAGAAGTTAGATATTTGTATTGGGTTTTAGCCACTTTATCGGAGAAGGCAATGGCATCCCACTCCAGTACTCTTGCCTGGAAAATCCCATGGATGGAGGAGCCTGGTGGGCTGCGGTCCATGGGGTCGCTAAGAGTCGGACACGACTGAGAGACTTCACTTTCACTTTTCACTTTAGCCACTTTATGTCCTGACTCCTCTACTGGTCCTTCTAGTCCATATAGGTATTGATCTATCACAGCATCAACAACGTTCTTCAATTTGAAATATCATAAAGACAGAGGCAGGTAAAAGATACAGAGAAAAAGAAGAAAGAGAAGAGAAAGGAAAAAAGAAAACTAGATGACTGCAGACACGTTCATACGTTTGAGGGCCTGCGCTTGGAGTTTCCACTTTTGCCATGGGATGAAGATCTGCAGCTGGTGTCCCAGTGTGTAAGTGTGGAAATGGGACACATTTCATGGAAATGATAACAAAGATTTGAATAACATGTCATAGTTCCACTTTCACTTTATTCCAAAAACCAACCTGTAAGAAAGTAGAATAGTTGCAGTCACTCTTCACTTGCCGACTTTCAACCTATGGATGTGCTCAGAGAAAAACCAAACTCTCCTATGAGAACATCCTGCGTGGTACCAGCAGGTGATGTTGGAGTGTGGGATGCTGCCTTTTGGACTCTAAAACCACATTGCTTGCCACCAGTGCATTTTGCTGTGTTTGTGTTTATTTTAAGGCATTTTCCCAAATATTATTATCCACATCAGGTCCAGGAAGTCCAAGAGCTTAAGAGTGTTAGAAGTAATTGTCAAGATATACAGTCACCATGGAAACAGAAGGGATTTTTAAAATTTTAGAGTGGTGAAAAAAGGAGGAATATTTTGTGTGAATATAGAATGAATTATTCAGAGTAGAAATGACTCTGAAGGACAAAGAGCAAGTCACGTAACATAAAAATGCTGTGCATAGTCCAACGGACAATGACAGCAAGAGAAAGAAGAGGGACAGAGTGGAACACTATTTGAGTAAGTGGCTAGACATGGGCTGGGTATTCATGGCCTTGTGTAATTCTAAGCATTGGAGAAGCTTAAGGATTAGCTGATGCGGCCCTACTCCTGAAACTCTTGTCTCTCACCAAAGAGAAAGTCTTTTCCAGTCTGTCTGAAATCCACACAAGGGCGAAGGTGGTGAGAAGGGGGACTAGCTACAAAGGGCCAGTGAGGGGCACCGGAGATTCCCAAGAAGAGCAGTCATCTCCCTGCATCTCCCTCCATCAGACACACACAAGGATGATTTGGAGAAAATACATCACTCACTCATTCAAAATACATTTATTCAATGCGTTCTGCATGCCAAGCTCTATTGTCTCAGGTAGACATTCATGGTAGAGCACATGTTTGAACAAGACCAGCCTTAATTAAAAGTTTACAAAACTGAGTCATTCTCCTGTTGCTAGCAATGCACTTGGGACTGGAAGTTTAGTCGTTTTGAAAGTGAAAGAAAGAAAGAAAGTGAAGTCGCTCAGTCGTGTCCAACTCTTTGCGACCCCATGGACTGTAGCCCACCAGGCTCCTCTGTCCATGGAATTTTCCAAGCAAAGGTACTGGAGTGGGTTGTCATGTCCTTTTCAGGGAATCTTCCCCATCCAGAGATCAAATCCAGGTGTCCCACATTGCAGGCAGACACTACCACCTGAGACACCAGGGAACTTTCCAATAAATGGATTCTACTTACAACTTGATTGTAAGTAGAGTTTCTATATTAACATGTGGTCTACTGATGAGGAAAGTGGGGTTTGGAGAAGTGAAGAGATTTGCCCTAAGTTGGTCAGATCTGGAATGAAAATTCAAATCCCAGAGTTGACCTCAAAACAATTCTCTCTTCTGTGCTGTTCTTAGCCGCTCAGTCACATCCAGCTCTTTGCAACCCCATGGACAGTAGCCTGCAAGGCTCCTCTGTCCACCGGAATCTCCAGGCAAGAATAGCAGAGTGGGTTACCAAGCCCTCCTCCAGGGGATCTTCCCAATCCAGGGATCGAACCCAGGCCTCCTGCATTGCAGGCAGATTCTTTATTGTCTTTGTCACCAGGGAAGAAATTCTCTCTTCTACTACATCATGATTCTTTAAAATAGGGTTCAATATATTATGCAAAACTGGCCCAAAACTGAATCCCCCAAATTTCCGTCCTCCAGTTCTTGGAAGCAAATGACATAAGATGCCTTAGACTTTCTTTTTTACATGTGATGAGATCTTCTTTTTAATAATCAACAAAGTGTGTTACTAAGAATTACAGTATTAGAATTTACCAAGGACTTACTCCTATATTCTACTAAGAAGACTGAATAGCACCAAAGGATTGTCAGTTTTGGCCTGTGACCTACTGAAATGCAAGGAGATAGTTTGGAACTTCTGCGATTTTGAGTAAATATGCTCTATATTTTTAGTGTTGTTATTATGAGTGGACTGGAGATTTCAACTTCTGCCACCATTATCTTTACTTATAACTCATTGCTAATTTGATTTTAGAATTCTTTTAGTTTGCAGTGAGTTGTTAGGTTAATCTTAGCGAACTAATAGTTAATAATAATAATAGCGAATAGTGAGTTATCAATAATATTTGGGGTCAGAATTATCTAATGACTAGATTTTAAGACATAGGTTCTTTGAAGCTCAAAATAAGCATTTATTTTGCTAAAGCACATATATGCAGAATCCACCCTTAGCCAGCAAAACTCCTGATACATGAACACTTCATTTGGCAAGTGGAAATGAATAGAAGAGGGAACAGTATTTTCCACCTGTGCTCAAGAATATCTGAGAGTCACTTTGATGAATAAGTAAAAGAGAAGTGAAAATGTAGTCGTTCAGTCCTGTCTGACTCTGAGATCCCAGGAACTGTAGGTGGCCAGGCTCCTCTGTCCATGGAGTTCTCTAGGCAAGAATACTGGAGTGGCTTGCCATTCCATCTCCAGGGAATCTTCCTGACCCAGAGGTTGAATCCCCATTTACCACATTGCAGGCAGATTCTCTACCATCTGTTACTATCCTCTAGGTGGCACCAGTGGTAAAGAACCCGCATGCCAATGCAGGAGACAAGACATGGGCGTTGGATCCCTGAGTGGAGAGGATCCCCTGGAGGCGGAAATGGCAACCCACTCCAATATTCTTGCCTGGAGAATCCCGTGGACAGAGGAGCTCGGCGGGCTGCAGTCCATGGGGTCGCAAAAGAGTTAGACAGGACTGAGCAACTAACACACACACACACACACACACACACACACACACACGCACACGCGGTGTATCATTTGCTGCTGCTGCTGCGGCTGCCAAGTCGCTTCAGTCGTGTCCGACTCTGTGCGATCCCATAGACGGCAGCCCACCAGGCTCCCCCGTCCCTGGGATTCTCCAGGCAAGAACACTGGAGTGGGTTGCCATTTCCTTCTCCAATGGATGAAAGGAAAAGTGAAAGTGAAGTCGCTCAGTCGTGTCCGACTCTTAGCAACCCCATGGACTGCAGCCCACCAGGCTCCTCCGTCCATGGGATTTTCCAGTTGAGAGCACTGGAATGGGGTGCCATTGCCTTCTCTGGTATCATTTACTACTGGTTAGAGCTTCTCCCAATCCTTTCTCTCTTTCCACCTCACACTACTGATGTTGGAAAACAAAACCTGTGCTTTCCCCATTTTTTCTGAAGCTAGAGACAAGCTTCTCTGGCCTATGAGATGTAAATGGAAGTGATTTAGGGGAGGTTTCTTAGCAAGCTTCTTTTCCGGTGAATCAGAGCACCCTCACTTCCAAATTTTTCTACCATTGAAAGCAACACCCAGAACAAAAACAACTGTTTTGTAACTATAAGGAAAGTAGCAACAGATTCACAGGGCTGCACTGTTAAAACCCTGAGCTTATGCCGGCAGTTGCCTATCTACAAATTTCTTATTATGGGAGAAAAAGTAAATCCCTATTCGATAAGGTCAATGAGTTTTGAGTCTTAGGATCCAAAAGCTTCTCTATAAATAGTTATGAATGAGAAAATATGAATTCATGTGCTGACTTATGTATATAGTTCTTATCTGTAGCATTGCTTCCAAGAGGTCAAAGTGTCCTGGGTTCAGACTCTGTTTTAAAATGTCTCAAACTTTTTAAAAACTAATTCAACATGGTGAATCAACTGTACCTCAATGAAAATGTTTTTTCACAAAGTTTTTGAACTTAAGGCCCAAACTGCTAAGCAGGTTCAAGTGTTCATCTTCATATCTCCCTCCACTTGACGCTCTCACTAACCCCCACACACACTTGTGCACACACACCTACTCAAACACCTGTATTTGCCCCTATTACCTAGTGCCGGGATGATAAATTGCTTTCATCTCAGGTGCCAACACTGATAGATTGGTAGTGGCTATCCAGATCACTATGCTGAGAATAATTCTGAGGCAGACAACGCAACTCAAGAGGAAGAGTTGATCAATCAGCCAAGGCCGCCATACAGAATGAAAAATGGAGTGGCAGCACCTGTGTTTTTGTAACAGTTGACCTGATCCAGTGCATCAGATTTTAATTGCTCAGCCTAGTGTAATCCTTTTCTTCTCTCAACTCTGTAGGTAGGAATTCAGAATTTTCACACTGGGACGTTTAGTCCTCGGAGTATCGTAAATAAAACAATACCCAGCTAGCGTGCTTGAGCTGGCATTGCAGAGAAAATATCATATCTGAAGTAGCATTCAACCTTTGCTGTACTGACCGTGGGGTGCACCGCTTGCCTCTCCGCTTGAGGAGGACCTTGTCAGTGCACAAGATGTGCAGCCGGCTGGTGACGTCCAGAGGCAGAGGCTGCAGGACCGCCTCAGCGCGCAAGCCGAGGACGCGTGCTTCCTGAGCACTCAGACACTGATTAGCAAGGTGAGGGGCCAGGGCCTCACCATTTCCACCCAGGGTGGGGCTCCACTATTCTTGGCTCTGAGGTTCCCGTTGTGTTGGTCAAGACGTCATTAGGTCTCTGTCGTGGTCTGGGGCACTCAGAGCTTGGTTCGGCTCCCTTCTGCCTTTCCTTTCACAGGCGGGGAATGCACTTCAGCACTGCGGCCACATCCTGCTCAGTCCTTGGTCTTTCACATGCGGGGCTCCCTCCCCCTCCCGTCCTCCCGACTCCGTCGAGTGTTGCTTCCTGGAGGCCCCAGACACGCACACAGACCTAGCATGGATATGTGTGTATGCAGTTGCTCAGCCGCGTCCGGATCTTTGCGACCCTATGGACTGCAGCCCGCCAGGCTCCTCTGTCTGTGGAACTTTCAAGGCAAGAATACTGGACTGTGTTGCCATTTCCTTCTCCAGGGCATCTTCCCGACCCAGGGATCGAACCTGTGTCTCTTTGCATTTCCTGAGTTGGCAGGCAGATTCTTCACCACTGAGCCACCTGGGACGATGCTAGTATGGACACGGCTACTCACCTTTACAAGGGCTTCCCTGGGCTCAGCAGTAAAGAATCCACTTGCCAATGCAGGACACTCAGGCTTGATCCCTGGGTCAGGAGGATCCCCGGGAGGAAGAAATGGCACCCCACTCCAGTATTCTTGCCTGGAGAGTCCCGTGGACAGAGGAGCCTGGCGGGCTGCAGTCCACGGGATTACAAAGAGTCAGACACGACTTAGGAACTAAACAACAACAACTTACATTCACAAGGCTTTTACATTAAGTGTACAACATTCCAAAAGAGGCAACGTGCTGCATTGGTTTCAGCATCCGACAATGTGGATTAAAATCCCAGACACTTGCCATCAAATGGCATTAAACTGGTGTCCTTATCTTTAAAATGAGAATACTAATGGTGATAACTGATGGGGCCGTGTGAGGACTGAATGATATAATATTCATGAAATTGATTTCTAAACTATTAAGCCCTACATGTCCCAACTTCCCTGGTGGCTCAGATGGTAAAGAATCTGCCTGTAACGCAGGAGACCCGAGTTTGATCCCTGGGTGGGAAATATCCCCTGGAGAAGGAAATGGCTACCTACTCCAGTATTTTTGCCTGGAGAATTCCATGGACAGAGGAGCCTGGGCACAGTTCATGGGGTCACAAAGACTCAGACACGACTGAGTGACTTAAAAAAAAAAAGTACTGCATAAATTTTGCTTATCACTACTATTTATTACTGGGCTTCCCTGATAGCTCATCTGGTAAAGAATCTGCCTGCAATGCGGGAGACTGCAGTTCGATTCCTGGGCTGGGAAGATTCCCTGCAGAAGGGATAGGCTACCCACTGCAGTGTTCTTGGGCTTCCTTGGTGGCTCCAAGCAATCTTAAAAAACATCTACTGGCAGATCAATTAGCATTCCTTTGCAAACATTGATTGTGCCTTTACCAGGACACTGGTGCTGATCTAGGAAACAACGATAACAAAGTCCCTGCCCTGGTGAAACTTACATTCTCTACGCTAACCAAGTCAGTGCGGGTTTCACTTTAAACATACTAATAGTTAGCAATAGGTCACTAGCAGTGGAGGCCGTATGTCTGGCTTGTGTTCTTAGTCGCTCAGTCGTGTCCACCTCATTGTGACCGCATGGACTGCAGCCCACCAGGCTCCTCCGTCCAGGGGGATTCTCCAGGCAAGAGGACTGGAGTGGCTTGCCAGGCCCTCTTTGTCTCTGTTTTGGTTCAAGTGTAATCCCAGTTTGTTCTTGTCCCAGGCTTTGTCTTCATCGGTCTTTCCCGCTGAACTGCCTCTCCTTGCTTTTAGTTTCTCCATCCCTGATGCTGTGAATCCTGCAGGGGGCTAACAGACTAGAGCGGTAACTTCTCAGGACACTGCGGTTCAGCTGGCCTGCGGCTTGCCTCACACACTTTTTCCTTTTTTTCTCTTTGCCTTTCTCTCCTCGGTGGCCCTTCCCCTCTTTTCCTGAACATTTGCACAGCTCACCTCTCTGGCCCCTATTTCCCTGTCTTCACTTCGGCATTTCTTTTCTTGTGGCCACCCTCTGTGGGAGTCGTTCTCTCTGTGTCTTCAGATGGCCTTGTTGTTTTGGAAGGAAAAAACAAACTTTCTGGCAGAAAACAGCAGAAGACACACCTCTCAGGAAATTAGACCTCAGTTTCTAACACTTCTTGGCACATTGTAGCCACAGGAATCAACATGTGTCTCTAAGAGGTTTCCTCACTTCAGATGAACTCAGGCCTCAACAAGATAGAAAAGAATGCAGCCATGCATTACAGACTGTGGTCAGTGTTAGCTGGTCACCATTCACCAAGAGGCTGGCTGGGATGAAGTCACTGTGTGGATATACACAGACTGCAGAATGTCTGCAGAAACCTCTGGTCCAAAATAGTTTATCACATTCTACACCCAATTTTTAAACTGGCTTAAAAATTTTTTATACTCATGTCTGGAAGCCAATAGATTAGTGGTTACCAAACTTTTTGACCATACTCTACTATTAGAAATAAATATGTGTGCATGCTAAGTCACTTCAGTTGTGTCTGACTCTTTGCAACACTGTGGACCATAGCCCTCCAGGCTCCTCTGTCCATGGCATTCTCCAGGCAAGAAGACTGGAGTGGGCTGCCATTTCCTCCTCCAGGGGATCTTCCTGAACCAGCATTTCTTACGTCTCCTGCCTTGGCAGGCAGGTTGAGAGCCGTGCTCGCTCTGTGGGTTAGGAAGATTCCCTTGGAGAAGGAAATGGCAACCCACTCCAGTATTCTTACCAGTGTTCTAGCCTGAGAATACTTTATGGACTGTAGCCCACCAGGCTCCTCTGTCCATGGAATTACAAAGGGTTGGACACCACTGAGTGACTAACATTTTCACTTCACTTTCTTTACCACTAGCACCACTCAGGAAGCCCAGAAATAAACACATATATGTATAAATACATGCATGTGCATATACATATGTGTATTTGTGCACATACATATTTTTATATATGTGAAACTAAAATTTCACAAAACAATATCACCTTTATTATGTGTGGAGCTCAAATTGTTCTTTTTCTTTTTAATCTAATCTATCAATAATAACTTTTTAAATATATTGGTCTTGACCTTGGGATTTTTAACCTTTTTTTGGTGCCATTTCTACTCAGCGTGGTAAAACTTGTGGATTCCCTTCTTGGACTAATGTTTTTAAATACGCAAAACAAAACTCATAGGATTACAAAGGAAATCAACTGTATTGAAACAGTCTTATCTTTGGACCTCTGTGGGGAAAAGAGGGCCACATCCATGGACCCAAGTCAAGAACCTCTGCTTGACTAAACTGATCTAACGACCGTCTGCAAGCCACAGCCTGCAGTATGGAAACGAGGCCTGCAGGCAAAGGCTCGGAACGCTTTGTGGTGATGCTGTTTCAGATGCTTTTCATCCTCTCATGGATGTGTCGTTCCCTTCTCCCTCCCTTTCCCAGTCTTCCTTTCCAGTGGCAGCCCCACCCGTGTGCGCGCGCGCACACACACACACACCCTCTCTCACACTCAGCCAGGTCTTAGCTCACACATCTGAAGTGAGACAAGACCCTGGACTTCTCGCCTGGCCCCCTAATGTCCCCACTCCCACTCCCAGACTTGGCCTGGGTCCCTGCCCCTCCGGCTCCCACCGCAGACCTATTTCATTGGCTCATTATCTTCGCAAGTCAGTGGTCGCAACTGTGGTTTCCCTGGTTTCCTGCACGGCACTGTGATCTGATAGGCGCCTTCTAACCAGAAAAACGGTGGAGCCCAGAGCCCCGGTCGTTTATTTCTCAAGTTTCAGTGACTCCGCTGCGGCAGGTGTTTCCGTTAGATCTGTGGCTGAGCCCCCACCCCGCCACAGGCAGCCGCGCCCAGTCCCTCCCAGGCTGCCGTCCCCAACGCCCCAGCCTGGCCGCGCGGCCGTGCAGAGCGCGCTGCGACTCCAGCGGCGAACGTCTCAGCGCGGGCCTCGGGCAGGAGCGGAGTCCGGGCCCCCTGAACTGCGCAGGTGCTGTCTCCACGGGTTTGCGGCTATGACTTGCCGCAAAACTCTGCGCCCTCCCCCGAACAAAGAAGGAAACAGGAAAAAGGAGACTCTGCTTCCTCTTTGGCCTGAGAATGGGCAGGCAGCTCTAGAAGCACTCTAACAGGCCAATAGAACGTCTGGTCTAAAATATGAAACAGTTCAGTTCAGTCACTCAGTCGTGTCCGACTCTTTGCGACCTCATGAACTGCAGCACACCTGGCTTCCCTGTCCATCACCAACTCCCGGAGTTTACCCAAACTCATGTCCATCGAGTTGGCGATGCCATCCAATCATCTCATCCTCTGTCGTCCCCTTCTCCTCCTGCCATCTTTCCCAAAATCAGGGTCTTTTCCAGTGAGTCAGCTCTTCACATCAGGTGGCCAAAGTATTGGAGTTTCAGTTGTCTCTGCCTTTTAATATGCTATCTAGGTTGGTCACAGCTTTTCTTCCAAGGAGCAAGCGTCTTTTAATTTCATGGCTGCAGTCACTATTTTGAAACCCAAAAAATAAAGTCTATCACTGTTTCCACTGTTTCCCCATCTATTTGCCGTGAAGTGATGGGACTGGATGCCATGATCTTAGTTTTCTGAATGCTGAGTTTTAAACCAACTTTTTCATTCTTCTCTTTCACTTTCATCAAGAGACTCTTTAGTTCTTCTTCACTTTCTGCCATAAGCGTGGTGTCATTTGCATATCTGAGGTTATTGATATTTCTCCCAGAAGTCTTGATGCCAGCTTGTGCTTCATCCAGCCCAGCATTATCATGATGTGCTCTGCATTTAAGTTAAATAAGCAGGGTGACAATATACAGCCTTGTATAAGGTGACAGTATACAGCCTTGATGTACTCTTTTCCTATTTGGAATCAGTCAATTGTTCCCTGTCCAGTTCTAACTGTTGCTTCT